ATGAACCCATATAACAATAATGGGTGGCAGAGTTACGGAGTTTTATACTCTCGAGACGCACCCTTCTTTTATAGGTTCTATTATGTAATATTTGCGTATTTCGTATTTATCGAGTATGTACTGCCTCTTCTCCATATTTCCATCATATGAACTTTCTGTACTTGTTTCTTATTAATAATAATATCAATTTCGCTTTTCCACAAGATAAGTGTGTAGTACTTCATGACTACAATTATTGTCATGTGTGCTTCTTCTGGAGCACATCATTGTAATGTCTATATGATCTTGTATCTTAATGTGATTTTGTCATCTGATATATTCCCTTAGTCTCATATAATATATTGAGAAATCATTTTGTATGATCACCATAACTGGTAACTTTTAGTACCACTTTCTTATTTTGTTCAATCATCCAATGTATCTTCTGGTGCCATTTCATCACTTTGTTTAATCATAACGTGGTAGCTTCAAGTATCACTATACCACGATATCATTTAATCAGTATGTAGTAACTTCTAGTACTACTTCATCAATATTCTTTTCTGCATCAATAAATTTGGAGAATTTATCAACTGTTCTTTCAGAATCAGAGTAGTCCATATACTGTCCGTTCACGACAAGGATTTTAATTATCTTTCACATGGCCAAATACAAAGTATCATTATTTTCACTCATCGGCTATCAATTATTAGCACTGCCTGTCGTCGGCGGCAGAGCCGCACTGGCCAGCCTATGTATATATAGCCATTCATATTCTTTTATAAGTACTATTTGTTGCACATGGCCTTACCACATGGCCATTCTACGTCACCAGCTACTATTAATTAATACACTGGCCCAATTTTTTTTTTTTTTAGCCGTTCAATATTATATGTTGCTGCTGACTGCAATACTTGGCCATTTCACATAACTATATTTAATCGATAATTGACCCTTCGACTACCATAAATATTACTTGCCGACGGCACTGGCCGGTCCTTGTAGTCAAACATCCTTATATTATATCACAAAGATTAATTTTATAAATATTCACATGATCAAATGTGAAATGATAACTTATAATGATTTATTTTATTTATTCACATTCTTATTCAACAACAAGTTTATAATAACTTATATCTAAATAGTTTTAAGATAAAATTCTTATAAAACTAAATATCTTGCAAATGGGAGAAAAACTAACTTCATCACTATGTATTATTATATTTCACTAAGGTACATGAATTTATTAAAATGTCAATACCAATTATTGTAGTGATAAATGCATTTTCATCATTTAAAACTATTGCATCGTTCATGTTCATTTAAATATTGTATCAAATATATGTAGGCCAAACTTAAAAAATGTCCCACTTCCCATGTGCATTAATGCATACATACATGCTATTTTGTCACTTACCTCTTGTTGAGAATTATACTTCTCTTCATAGTTATCTTTTCATCTTGAAATATTGAAGACACCTCACAGGCCAAGTAAAATTATCATATTATGTTTTGCTTTCATGAAGTCCATTCACTCTTTGACTATTTTCAGCCTTAGTAAATTATACTTTGAAGAAAGGTATAAAATATGTTTCATACCTTGTTAATCCCAACAACTAGCAATGGATATTTCGAGATCCTCTGCGAGTAGTCTACCGTCGGAGCTTGTCGGCGAGAAGTCGCGTAATGTGCTGCGGTGTCGTTGGTCTCAGCCTCCACCAACAACACACTCTCGGCGTTGCAATCGATCCCGACCCGACCGTCCTCGTCATCCAAGCTTGCTTTAAATTTACTGATGGATGAAAAAATATATGTAAATGAATACAATTTTTGCAAGGACTGAAATAAGATGATCCTTAAGTATGGTTGCTCTTGGGAAAGCTTGAAGTAATGCAACTGATCAAATCAATTTTTTTTTTTTTTTTCAGATGGAGTTTATTCAAGAGAAGAACGATTAGTAATAATCGAATTTCTGATACAGAGGATCGTCTATAGAACGCAACTGTAGAGCATACTCTTCTTATATTACAAATCGAGCTCTAGAGGGTAGAAACTCGTGCTGATAACATGTTATAAAACTAGAGAGAAAGAGAGAGAATAGAGAAAATGTTTCTCTTAGATATATTTTTCATTATAACTGAAACTCCTATTTATAGGAAACTTCTGATGGCACAATCGTAATAATACAATTACATCCAAGGCAAAATAGTTATTCACATACATTATTTATAATAACATTAATGGTGTGGACCATATATATTTATAACAAATCACATTATTTTCTCCCTTTCCACTGGCATTTTATCCACATTCGCACGCTCAAACACGCCTACTCTGCTGCTGAATATCACTTGTGTATTGTTCGGTCCACCTTAGGTAGCCATGGCTGCTGGCCTGCTGGAAACCGTGACCATCCCTCGCGCCGCCTCTCTTCCGTCCGCTTCGTCGGTTTCGATCACCGGATTCAGGTCCGTCCGGTTCTCGCAGTTCCGAGGACTTACGGTGCAGCCAACTCACTCGTCAGCAAAGCTGAGGTCGCCCTCCAAGCTTGCGCGTTTCGGTAGCAGAATCGTGTGCGAGGCACAGGAAACAGCTGTTGATGGTTTGGATTTTACCTTTCTTCCACTTGTCTTTTTATTTTTCACCCATTAATGGTCAAAATAGAAATAGATTCTATGTGCTATTGTGCGTTGTTGTGATTGATTTTGCATAAAGTTTATTGTTCCAGAGTAGCACCTGTTCGGATGTTGTTTTAGCTACAACACGGTAACTTTGCGCTTACTTTGATTGTTTTTGTATTGTGCCATTTTGCTGGAATTGAATGGAATGGAACTCAACTACAGTAATGTTCCTCTACCCACGGTGGGCACATGTTAATATGCTCACCGCTTATGTGGCATGCACACATTGGTGATGTTAATATGTTCAAAAAGATACATCACCAATCAGGGGCGGATCTAGCAAATATAGTGAGCGGGGGCCTAACTATATAATTAATAAATATAACAAACTTAATAAAAAAGACAAATGCAAAGACGGTCAAAACTCTTATCAACAATATAGTTCAGCAACTGATCCTCAAGAAAGAGAACATCAAATATAGAAAGTCTTGATCATCTTGACTAATTTTCGCATTGTTACCAAATTTCTCGTATTACATTCTTTCTGCCCAAAGATAATAGAATTTCCCTCAAATCTAATTGGATTCAATGTATCTTCTTTTTGAGATATTTTCACAAGATTTTGTTGACATGGGCTTTTTTGAAAATATCTCTCAATGTATGATATGCCAAAATAATATTATAAATTTATAGTAAATGAAATTCTCTATTTTGACATATTACACTTTAAATAGTTGTAAACCTAAAAAGGGCTTGAATGTGCAATATTTCCATAAAAAGGATATATTTACCGCTATCTAAAAAATAAAGAAGTGTAATTTTTATCTTTACTAAAATAAATAGAAAGAATTATGTTCTCTTGTAAGTAACCTTTCTGTACAGCTGGACCAATTATTGACGAACTCTTTGACTTTTTCCTTTTCTCCTTATTTTCCCCTCTTTTTTTCCCTCTGTATTTGTCTGCGTCATCCTGCACTCTTTTCTCATGTTTAATTATTGTGTTAAATGTTTTATCAGTTTATTATATTAAGCTTATTTATTGGTCTCATATGGGCTAATAGTAATACAAGGAGTTTAGTCTTTGTGAGTTGGGCAATTTTTATTGGGCTCATAATACAAGGAGTTTAATCTTTGTGAGTTGGACAATTTTTATTGGGCTCATAGGCATAATTAGTATTTTTTAGAGGAAATTGCATGTCATACTTTTAAACTTAAAATAAATAACAGTTTTGTATCTATTATATATTTATTTTTACAATTACCTAAACAACCTAAAAGATTTTCACTTATACCTATAACCATTTTTTTAATGTTAGTGAGATAATTACGGCAAATTAAATATCACTTACCAAAAAAATAGGTAACTAAAAGGTAAGTTTCCCCCAAACCACCCCACCGCCCCACTTACCACTTCATTCTGCAAATCCTTTCCACAACTTTGGGCGATTTCAATTCTCAATGGAGAAAACCAAAATCACTCTTCCTCATCGGAAAAATCCGGCAGATGGTGTCGGCGTTTCACCAGTTTTAAGATCAAGTGCCCGTCTCCGTAAAATTCTTCCACAAAACAAACCAAAACTCGTGCAAAAAAAATTATTTTTTGAGAAAAATTCAAACCCTAATCCTAGTCGCAAATTTTCCGACGGTGAGACGCTCCTCTTCTTGATCTTCTCGACCGTCACCGTCATCTTCCTCACCATCGTCGGATCCGTTCTCGTGCCGGGCCTCATGGTCGGAGTCGGTATTGTCTATATGCACGGTGCTTTTAGGGCTCCTGAAGATCCATTTTCGTATAGATCTTGTATTTTTCTGTGCGATTCCTTGAGTTGAAATCTGGGTTCGTGGATGTGCAGAGAATTGGGACACAACCGAGGACAAAATTGACCCGGGCTACGACGACTGCGGGGATGAGGGCACCGTCGCCAAGACAAAATTGACCTGGGCTACAAAGTAGTGGATGTGTTCATTCGCAAGATTTATCATTTGCAGAGTTGCAATTTTTTTTATTTATTTAGTTGAAACATTCATGAGATTCGGGTATATCCGAGTATATCCGAATTAACTTTTCTCTGGTTATTTGTTTAATTATTCCTTTTTTTTCTTGGGGTTATATGTTGGGTATATCCGAGTATATCCGAAGTAACTTTTATCTGGAAGACTTGTTTTTATTGCACATATACTCAATATGTACTAACATAAACTCAAAATATATCACCTCGCGGCTGCGTGAATTATAATATTGCAACATACACTGAATATATACTAACATAATCTCAAAATATACTACCTGGCGACTGGTTGAGTGGAATATATACTAACATAAACTCAAAATATACTAACATAAACTCAATTTTTTTTTTCTTTTTTCTCCTGGTAGACATGGCGGAAATCACGGGACCTTCAACTGGAGTGGTTACGTTACATTGTAACTGATATTGATACAATATAATAAATTAATTTATTTCTTTAGGTATAATTGTAAATACTTTCAAATAAAGGTAAAATTGAAAATATTTATATATCTTACCGCATGGATGAAAATTTCCCTATTTTTTATAGATTAAGTAACATGGGTTAATAGTAATATTAAGTTTTTCTTTCAGTGTGGGCCTAGGCCCACACTGGTCCTAATAAGGCTCCTCCCATGTCACCAATGCGTGCATTCCACATAAGCGGTGGGCATATTAACATGTGCCCACCGTGGGTAGGGGGCATTACTCATTTATACTAGGAATATTTATTTTTTGTGTTTTATACTTGACTCCGGTTTTCCTGTTGTAGGACTAAAGTCAGGAAGCTGAAAATGGTCACTATTTGGTTAGGTTGATCCATTGTGTTAGCTTCTATTGGGTATTCATCATTTGAATTGGTAACTTTATAATACATTTATCAGTCAATTATAGTTGATAAGTTAAGCTCAAGTATCAAACGTCAGTTCTTTTCTTTTGTATGTTCTCTGCTCGAGTAGTTTGATATTTAGTATAGCTCATTACTTGTTCCTCTCTGGCTCCTAATTTGATATGGGTTGTGACAAAATGCTAGAATCTGAATGATTTTTGAGCTTAAAGATACCAAGGTTTCAATGTTTTGTTACTTTATTATATATAATGGTTGGATATATGGTTAACAACCAAGTGATTTAGCATCACTTACTGATAAGATATTTATGTGTTAGTGACCCTCGTTGAACTTCATGCCTCCTGACTATTGTTGGATTAGTTTGTCTCCTCTACCATAGTGATAAAAACTAATTTTGAGTTTGTAATTCATTTTGAGTGCACCCCTCAGTTCTTAGACTGGTGGATTTCCGTATTCACTGCATGTGCACCTTAATTTGTGAAAGTTATTAACACGGATTTTTTCGCAAAGCATTTAGTAGGTCATAGTGTGTTTGTTTGAATATTTTTTACAAACATTACAATAATTGCTCCATAAAAAAATTATATAAAATACTGCAGTGGCTGCTGTTGGGGACGCAAATTGGAAATCTTCTGTACTCGAATCTACTTTACCTGTTCTGGTTGAATTCTGGGCACCGTGGTGTGGGCCATGCCGAATGATCCACCCTGTCATCGAGAAACTCGCTAAGCAATATGCAGGAAGGCTCAAATGCTTCAAGGTCAACACCGATCAGAGCCCCTCCATCGCAACCCAATATGGAATCCGGAGTATCCCTACTGTCATAATCTTTAAGAATGGAGAGAAGAAGGATGCAGTTATTGGTGCGGTTCCAGAAACCACATTAACATCATGCATTGAAAAGTTCTTGTAGAATGGTGAGTCAATACTTATGTTCACTTATCACTTATGTTTGTTCACTAGGGTTTGATTTAGCCCCCCACATCGCGAAATTGCTTCAATAAACCTCATAATCTCCTGTATAGTTATTGCTTTCATATTTCATGTTCTCTTCGAGGCTATGTTAGTTGATTATTCATATTTACAAATTGCTTTCCTCAAGTTGCACTGTCCAAGTTGCATGTTAATCTCCTGTTTTATTTTAGCTCGTGGGGTTATTGCTTTCTTCAATATATTTACGTTTTTACCCAAATGCTGTCTTTCGTAGAAATGCCATAACATGATAAGTCAATAGGCAATGCCTCTTTGTATTGTCGAAGCACCTTGCCGTCTACGAGTTGCCTTGAAAGGTGATTTGTGCGCAATGGTAATTACATAAACTTACTTATTAAAAGCATGCCTAGGCGATACGTTTTTCGCAAGCTCATCCATAAAAAAAGGGTTTTCCGCAAGAACTGTATTTCGCAAAAACTGTTTTTCAAGAGAATCTGGTCATTCCAGTTGCATCTTTCAAATCTGGTTCAATACTGTTATATAAATTAGTTGAACAATCTACTACATTTTTTATGTCACTTGATATTTTTATTTTTTTTATTTATTTAATTTATTTTTAACTCAAATAAAGACATAATTAGATATATTGGATATTTATCAATTATGTTATTAAAAAATGTAGTTATTTTACATTATTATGAGCTATTTTAGATAGTAGATATTTGAATCTTGATAATTTATCTGAATTTATTACTAAAAGAACCATATTATGTTTATATGAATGAATAAATTGTTGTTGGTTTTGCGAAGTTGCAACTATTGAACATAAAACTTTCTCGGTTAGATGACCAGTTTGGAGTTTTAACCTTGTGTGATATAGCCAGCTAAGCTGGTGGGCTCGGACTTTTGAATAGCACGAGTTGGGCCATTACTCATTTGCTGATTGTGAAAAGATTGTTTTGGGTCCAGTTAGTGAATTTAAGGTGATCTTTAAACTTATTTTGAGTATCACGAGTTGAGCAACTCTGTACAGACTTGAGTTTGGTCGGGTGCATGTGGGGACATGTGTATAACTCTGAGCGATGAATAAGAAGAATAGTGTATCGATACTTTATGAGGCGTAGGAATTAAAAAGGTTTCATTAATAAATAGCACAATATAGAAGTTGGTTCCTAAACTATTACAAGGGGACCTAAATTCTTCGATAGTATCGTTGCCATCCCCATC